TGCAAATAAATATCCCAATGGGAAAAATACCATTGGCGTATTAATGTCCCAATAATGGGAGCCAGGGATGCCAATATAATTTCAATAATGGCACCCAATAATGGACCATTATTGGTAAAGTCATGGGCTGTCCACGCCGATGCCAATGATTGGCAACCAATAAATAGCCAATATTAAAAATTTTAATAATAATTTAAAAAATCAATAATTAAAAAAAATGTATTATTTATTACTAATAGTTATTATTATTATTTTTTTAATAATTAAATTAAAATACAAAAATGGTCATCAAAGTATTAGTGAAACCATTTCTTCCAAAAAAGAATTTGTCTCAAATCAAATAAATAGGAGAGACATAGGCTTATATACCAATCTAATGGCACCTCAACTGTGAGAAACAGTTTTGATGTTCGCCCTCCCTGTGGCGTTGAACGAACTAAAGTCCAGAGCTGAGCCGCCATCAGCGCAGTGCGGGAACATTTGAAAAATTTAATTTTATTAGATATTTTATTTTATTTTAAATCTGATAAATAATTAATGTCATAAATAATTATTAATAACATAATGTCATACATAATAATTCGTTAATTATAAAATAAAATATTTATAATAAAATCAAATTTTTCAAATGTTCCCGCGCTGCGCTGATGGCACAGCTCTGGACTTTAGTTCGTTCAACGCCACAGGGAGGGCGAAAATCATAACTGTTTCTCACAGTTGACGTGCCATTAGATTGGTATATAAGCAGTGATCGAAAATTTTTTTCTTGTCGAATTTTTATTCTGCCCGATGTCTCTCCCATGACTTTACCAATAATGGTCCATTATTGGATGCCAATGGTTGTTTCATTGGCACCCATCATTGGGCCAATTAATACGCCAATGGTTACTTGTGGCAGTTTCCTATTGGGTATTTATTTGATTTAAATGAAAATTGTATTTATATCAAAGAAATTTTTTAATTACGTTAAATGAATGGACTGAAATAAATATATGTTTATTTAACTCAAATTTATTATATTTGATTCAAATAAAAAATTTCTCTGGATGAAGTTGTAAAATTATTGTAAAAGAATTGGTGTTTTATTTCTGTTTGTATTGAAAAAAAAATTTGTTTTTTCACTGTTTTTATTGTTTTTATTTATATCAATTGTTTTATATTCACTAAATACATTAGCATCTTCAGACTATTGATAATAATTATATTAAACACTTGTGATTAGTGGGTGATATTACGACGTCATACGCTAACGTTGATGGTCTCGTTATGGGGTTCGGGTGATGGGATGTTAATCTGTGATGAGTACATACAGACCATGGTAATCAATTTTCAAATCAATTGCGTTAGTAGTTGTCAAGTGCACGATAATTAGCGAATTAAAGATTTTGTCATAAACACTCTCTCAATAGTGTATAATTTTTATTTATTTTTTTCCACCAAAAAAAAAATTCCTCCTTTATTCAAAAATAGGCGCTCAATTTAATTTTATGTTAATAATTGTTTTTTTTTCAAATTTAGAAGCAAAAATTTTTATTGCTAAGTTTTTTTTAAAAAAATAGATATATTTTTTACAATTATGGGAGGTATTTTTTTGGGGTATTCTTTTTTTTATTCCTTTTACTATATGAACCTTTGGAAATTCAGTTGCATGAAATGTAGATTTGTCAAGAGATTGCATTGCTAAAAAATGCATTTTCTACATTGCACGATTGTGGGTAATATTTTGAACGAGGTGTAAAATCTGCCTCTTTAACTTCATCCTTTCATAACGTATATAACGTACTCCATAGCGCATATCTTGACGTAAATTCTTTTCAAGTCATTGCCAAGCCTTTTCCTCTTCTACTCTTTCCTCGTTCCCTTTTTTAACACCCGAGTCTCAATTACAGTCGACTACTTTCCTTTCATGCAATAGTTAACAGTTTTACCTGGGCCCGCCATCGTTATATACTTTTACGTATTTTTTTTTTTTTTTGTGCAACTGTCGTCGTTCTCATTTTGTTAAAAAAAAAAATGCTTCGGAAACGGAATCCGTCTAAATTGTGCGAGCCGACTAAATCACCCTTTGAATTTTTTTTTTGATATATATGATCTCGGTTAGAATTTTTCCTCTACTATGACAAAATAAGTGACACTTTTCACAAAAACGAAGGCTTCAATCAAACGACGAGAATAGAAGATTTTTTTTTTTTTTGCGAAAATATGCAATTCTATATTGTACGACTGTAGCCGAATTTTTCTGCATTAGTTATTATTTTCTGATAGAGCAATTTTGTTCTACTAACTTGTCTGACTAAACATTTTCGTTTTACTTAAAAGTTGTTTGGAAAATGTTAATCTATTTAAAATAATATATAGTTATATGTCTGACAAAATATTTTTGCACTAGTTAAAAGTAATTTGTCTGAGAAAAATTTTGTTCCACTTAATAGTTACTTGTCTAACTAAACAAGTTCATACTACTTAAAAGTAATTTGCCTGACTAAGCAATTTTGTTCTACTTAAAACTTAATTACCTAAATAAATAATTTTGTTTAACTTAAAAACCACTTGGTTGACTCTAGAATTTTGTTCTACTTGAAAGTTACTTGTCTGACTATACAATTTTGTTCTACTTAAAAGTTACTTGTCTGACTAAACGAGTTTATTCTACTGAAATTATTTGTCTAACAATATAATTTTTTTTCTACTTCAAAACGACATGTCTGATTATATAATTGTTTTCTATTTAAAAGTTACTTGTCTGACCAAACGAGTTTGTTCTACTTAATACTTGTCTGACTATACAATTTTGTTCTACTTAAAAGTTACTTGTCTGACTAAACGAGTTTATTCTACTGAAATTATTAGTCTAACAATATAATTTTTTTCTACTTCAAAACGACATGTCTGACTATATAATTGTTTTCTATTTAAAAGTTACTTGTCTGACCAAACGAGTTTGTTCTACTTAATACTTGTCTGACTATACAATTTTGTTTCCACGTACAGCATACTTGTCTGACAAAATAATTCTATTCCACTTAAAAATGACATGAATTGAATTTTATTTTCACATAATGTTTCAGAATATATAATAAATTTATTAACAAAAATGAACGATACAATTTTTTAGCATTAAATACCTGTGTTCTTTTGATAAGCCTAATCATATAATTGACAAAAATTTTCTTATTCAAAGAAACTTTTTCTAACAAGGAGATAATAATTTTTGATCATTTGAAATTTTTCCTAGTGAGGTTACGAGGGTTATAAAGTCAAACTGCTATCGTTGATCGTAAAAGTTCGCTTTCTTTATTACTTATGTTGAGTAGTAAACTGGGATCTTCCGATTTACGAGGACATACACGACAGCAGTTTTCCAGTTTCGTTATGTATAGAATAATAAAACTTCTCACTTTTCTGAATCACAATTTCACAATTCGGAATATGGATTTCATATTTAAACAGAACATTGAAGGTAGTGGATAGTAAAAATATATACATATACAGATGAAGATTGTGGAGAATAAAATGCATATTGAGAATTGTCTGCGGTTAATATACCAAGTCTTATAAAAGATGTACGACTATTTTTCAAAACATAAAAATTATATTATTAGAGTCTCTGGAGAGAGCATAACAAATTTTTCCACATTAAAAATTATATTTGCCGAATGTGATAAATTATTTCGGTAATTATTATAATTATTATAATGATAATTAAAATTAACATTATTTCAAATTAAATTTAATTTGTCATGACAAAAAAGGTGTTTTTCTATTTGAAAAATTTAATTGTCTGACGAAAACTATTTTCCTCTACTTAAAAATAATTTGTCTGACGAAACCTGCTTTGTTCCACTTAAAGATGACGTGTGTGACTAAATTATTTTTTACTACTTGGAAGTTACTTGTTTGGTTTCACAATTTTTCTACTGAACAATTACATGTCTGACTAAACAAGTTTGTTCTACTTAAAAGTAATTTGTCTGACGAAAACTGTTTTTTCTATCGAAAAGTTACTTGTCTGACTAAACAAGTTTGTACTACTTAATAGTACTTTATCTGACTAAGCATTTTTGTTCTACTTAAAAGAAACTTGTCTGACGAAAACTGTTGGTTCTACCTAAAAGTAATTTGACGAAGGAATTTTGTTATACTGAGAAATGTTTTTGTCTGACGAAAACTTTATTTTCTACTGAAACGTTATTTGTCTCATTAACCTGTTTTGTACTACTTAAAAATGACATTTATGACCAATTTCTACTCTTCTGGAAAGTTACTTGTCTGACTAAACAATTTTTTTCTACTAAAAAGTTACTTGTTCGACTAAACAAGTTGATTCTTCTTGAAAGTAATTAGTCTGACTAAACAATTTTGTTCTACTTATAAATTATTTGTTTGTTTCTACAATTTTCTTCTACTGAAAAGCTACTTGTCTGACAAAAAACTGTTTTATACTACTTAAAAATTATTTGTTTATCAAAAAATTGTTTACTCCACTAAAAAATGTTTCCTGTCTGACCAAAAATTTTTATACTACTTAAAACTAAAATTTTCACTAATATTTATTAAAAGTGTAAAATTGAATTCTACGTTATGTCAGATATCAACATGTCTGACGAAAATCATTTTCTTTTACTTAAAAAGAAAATACTTAACTGAATCTCCTACTTGAAACCATATTTATCTTTTGTCTGACCTAACAGATTTTTCCCTACTTAAAAAATGACATTTGTCTGACATAACAAGTTTCCTCTACTTGAATATATTATACTTTGTCTTGCTCGGCAACTTTTTTTTTCCTACTTGAGAAAGTCAATTTACCTGACACTACAAAAATCCCATATATACTCAAATGTAAATATTGTCCGTCACTTGAATTTATTGTAGATTATTATATTTTGTTATTAATAAAAAAAATTATATTATTTTTAATTATATATATATATATATATATGCTTATTTGCTAAGAAAAGGGAAATAATTAAAAATTGTTTTTTCTTTTTTGTTTTCAGCGGGGTCCCGGTGGTTGGTCATCGGGATCCTTGGTTTCCGTCCGTTAAGTGCTCAAAATGAGCCTACAGAGGATTCTACCGATGTGGTGCTTCCTCGTACTCGTGGAGTGCTCCCAATTACATAGAAACAATAGCGATGAAGATGGTTCTAAATTAATTCGAATCGTTGGCGATGTTATTTTTGGAGGAATTTTTCCAATGCACGAACATCAGGTTTGTTTTTCTTTCATCTATATTTTATTGATAATTTTTAATATATATATATTTTTTTTTAATCTATTTTTTTTATAAATCTAAAATTTTTTTTAAATTTAATTTTTTTATAAATCGATTAAAAAAAATAAATTAAATAAAAAAAAAAATACAAAAAATGTTCCATTTTAATTTTACATAAAAAAAAACTTTAATGAACGCGAAGAAGAGTAATGATAATACCATGACAGTTGTTTCTCCTTGGGATTATTTTTTTGAATTATCTATTAGCTTGACATAGAACTAAAGTATTTTTTTTTTTTTTTTACTGTCAAGGTAGTAAAATTGCCTGTCAGCAGAAACGTGTGTTTTAATTAAAAACTTTCCTTTCCATCGAATATAGTGAACGTGAGGGGAATGTGTGAGGCGTTCACTAGTTTTAACGCTGAAGCAGGGAAAGGGAGTTTCTGGATAGTAGTAGTTTATATATATATATATATATATCACAGAGTAGAAGCGCATGAGGAGTAAACGTATCTCGACATAGCAAACATTAAAATCGTCTAGCTATCGCGTTGTCACAAAATTTATGAGTATGTTTGCCACAATGTATATATATATATATAACTTTAAAGCATTCAACTTGGTTTACTGGTGAGTCAAAAGTGGTTACTTCCCTGTCCACTGAACTTCAAGTTGAAGGAAACTTTCCAATGACTTTTCAACCGAAATATTTTGACACACCTTTATGAAAGAGAAAATCGAATTCTAATTTCGTTTTTACTTATTTTTTTTTCGTTTCTATTTTAGTTTTTTCTACTATTTAAATAAAACTTCAATCAATATTGTAGAAATTAAATTTTAAATTCTTAAAAATAATAATAAAGAAATAAAATAAAAATAAATTTGAACTTTTTAATAAAAAAAAAAATTTGAATTTTGTAGATTAAATCTTCAGAAAAGAAAATTTATTCACATTTTTTTTTTAACGGAAATTAATAATTTTTTTATAAGTTAAAAATTCATAAGTTCTATATTAAATTATGAATAAATTTTTTTTTATGTAAAGTGAAAAATATAAATATTAAAATTTAATAATCTTATGTTAGATATTTTTATTAGAATTTTTTTTTTCAAACAGCCTGAAGAGTATATTAACGTTGGTATGGGTGTTGAAATATTTTTCTTTTGAAGTTTTTTTTTTTTTTTTGGTAATTTTTTATATTAAAAAAGGGAAAATTCTTTTAAAATTAAATACTAAACTATATAGTAATGAGGCGGGAATTCTTAAGTAAGATACTTATTCGAAAAGAAATTAACAATTTAAATAATCAAGAACTAAGGAAATCGTGAATTTAAGCTTTTAAAGTATAAGAAACTTTTAATAATGAAACGCCTTTTAAGAATAAAATACTTGTAAAGTGTCATTAAAAGTGAAATCTTCGTTTCTTAGAAACTCCATTTAATTTTATTCTCAACGACAATAATGTTGAAAACTATTGGAATAATAAATTATATATATAAAAATTTGTTAATTAAGAAATGGAAATTTTTTTATAATTTAATAAAAAAAAATAATAGTATAAAGTGAAATAAACCCCCTCATAATGTAAAAAAATAAAGAATGAAAAAAAATAAAACATAAAATAAAAATGCGAATGAAAATATTTATAAATTAGTGAAAAAAGAAAAAAAAAATGATTAATAAATTATTATACAGAAAGGGAAATTGGTATTAGTGGAATTTGATAAAGAAGTAATTTAATTACATCAATGAGGAAATTAGGAAAGTTTTAGTTGAATCTATATTGACAGATAAATTTTTTTTCTTTTTTTTCAGGTTACCAATGTGAATGTAGAATCACCATGCGGTGCTGTGAAAGAGGAAAAGGGTGTTCAACGATTGGAAGCAATGTTGTATGCGTTGGACCTAATTAACAGTGACAACGAACTTCTCCCAAATACCACCCTGGGTGCCTTGATCCTGGATTCTTGCAGTAGTGACACACATGCTCTCGACCAAAGCATGGAATTCGTCAGATCTTACATGAATCAAGTAAGTGCTTTTAATACCAAAAATTAATAATATTATTAAATTTAATTAATTTATTCAAAATTATTATCATTATTATTATCATCATTATTATTATAAACAAATTGATTATTATTTTACAATATTCATTAATACAATAGACAAAACTAATTTTCAATAATTGAAAACATATAAATTTTAATAATAAAAATTGTTTTCCGTATTAATTAATTTTTATAAAACAGAATTTATACAAAGAACAATTTTTTAATTTAAAATCCTTTCATTGAAACATGTAAAATTTGCTGGCAGCTAATCAGAAAAATACAATTTTTTTTTGAATAATTTGAAGAAAAAAAAATTTAACAAAAATTTTTGCTTTATGATAATAATTTTTTTCCATACTCGCGCGTTGATTTTTCAAATATTTTCTGACATTCGTTGAATCTAAACAGAGGAACTCTGTGTGTACCATTAATTTTTTTTAATGAGATGAAATTTACGTGATTTCTCTAAAAAGGTGTGTGTGCGCAAGTTTAACGCATATATATGTATAAATGTTTCGCAATAACGTTACAGTTTTTAATTAAAAAAAAATTCTTTTTTTAAAAAAGTAAACGTTACAATTAATTTCAAGCTATTTATAAATAACAGACATTTCTCTTTTTTTCAATTATTCTCATTACTTTAGTGTTGCGTAAAAAAAAAAAAAAATTTGTTTTCATTTAGAAAAAAAATTGTGAAATAATATTTTTAAATTCTCTATAAAGTTATTTGATTATAATTTCATATTATTTTGTATTTCACCATCGTTTGAAATTTTTAATTATAAAATTATTTGCGAATTATAAATTATTAATTTAATGTTCTTAATTCTTGTTTATTTAGTATTATTGAATTTGTTAGGAGAAACAATATTATTCTAAAGAAAAAAAAAACTGATAATTTATCACACAATGAGAAAATATTAAAATCATTTTTTGATGAAAAATCTTTTGTTCATTTGCTTTTGCTTCGATTCTTTTGTAAAATAACCGAAAGTGGTCTCGCATATTCTATATATTTTTATAAAAATTGATGTTCGAGTTTTCTTATATCGAAAGCATTTCAAATTTGACAATAACGATAATACAAGTCACTAGAAGATAGAGTCTCGTTTATCTTCCTTGGCATGTAAATAGCTGTGTGTATGAAAAATTGCAAGAATGTAGGTCTCTGGAGATTACTTTTTCTCATAAACTACACATTTATTTCATGTGTACGCTTACGAGAGTAAAAAGAAAAGAAAACATTAAAAAGCTTTAAATACTTTTTTTCGAACTTTCATTCAAAGTGGCAGATTTTCATTTCGTTTCGAAAAAAAAAAAAAAAAAAAATCTCCCTAATGGCAATTATATATTACTATTTCACTCCTTGTGAAATTCGAATTGATTTTAAAATAAATTTAAATATTTCACAATGATTCGTAATTTTATATTTATAATAGAATTTATCAATTTCCGATATTTGTCATTGAATTTGAATGATTGGAAATATTTCATTCTGTGATTGAATATTAATTAAAATGTTTGATATAAAAAATAAATCAATTTATATTTCTTTTGAATAAATTGAATAATAAATATAGTTATTAACATAAATCAATAAATATTTCTGAAAAATTGAACATAATTTTAGTAACTTTTTATTTATTTCAGTAATTTTTCGTTTAAAAAAAAAAAAAAAAAACAATAATTTTATATTTGATTAACAATTTTCGCTTGAGACTTAAAAAACATATTCTGACACAATATTCCATTTTAGAGGTAATATTAAAGTAAATATTGATTATTAATATTGTAAATATTATTATAAAATGAATCAGAATTTTCAGTTCAATGTTTTCATTACCTATATTAATATTTTTGTATTTAGATTTATTACATTGAATAATATATATATATATATATATATATATATATATATATAAATGCGTATAATTAAAATTTCTATACAAATATTTATGTGAAATTTTGATTCATATTAAAAAATTTGTATTAATTAACATTTTTTAATTAGAGAAATAAATGCGGTTTTTAACGTAACATTAATGTAGATTTTTTTGTTTGTTTTAAAATTATTTTCAAATAAGAGAAAAATTTTAATTCAACCTCGTTTTGAAAAATGGATGAAAATCCGGGAAATCATCTTTAAATTAGGAGAAACGAAATTCAGTGCGATTATAATTCACTTAGAAAATTAATTTTTTTTTTTTGTTATACTCGTTTGTTATAGTTTCATTTTGTAATTTACATTTTATCGTGTAGAAACTTTGTGGCTTTATTAAATTCTTAAATAGTTTTACTGTATATAGCGAAAGATTTAAGAATTTCAGCCATTTAAAGTAACGAGATTTTCGTTTCGTGAAAATTAGTACAATGAGAATGGTATATATACATATATATATATATACAATCTTGCAAGGTTTGTAATTAAGTCTTACACTTAACATCACTTGCAACACTTCAAAAATTCCCGCGAATATCCGTTAAACGTCTGGTAATTTACTTTTTAGCAGAGGGTGAAAAAAAATGCTTTTCTTTTTCTCTCTCTCTCTCTTTCATCGTAAACACGCTGTATAAACGAGAATATTCAATCGCTACCTGTAGAGTAAAATGGTAGTTCAGGCTAAAGATTCGATTAAATTTAAGTGTAGTATTAAATGGGTTGTTCGAAGCTGGTCGATGGTACATAAAAGAAATTCACTTTAATGCTTCCTCGCATGAAGCATTGAGCCTCTAACAACACATTTTTATTTTATGAGTCTCGAAGAATATAAAAGAGACAATGTGATTTGTTTTAAAAAAGATTTCTTTTTTAAATCCCTCGTCCCAAATATGAAAAGTAGGGCTTTTTTTCATTTGCTATTATTTTAATTATAATTAATACACTGAAAAAAATCGCTTTATTCAAATACTTAGTTACTTTTTAGCCAAATAAAATTTATTTAAACCAAACAAAATTTATTTGACATAAATATTTATTTGCTTCCGAGATAAATATATAATTTCTCTGTGTAATTTTTTTTTTAAATAATGTTTTTAAAAAATAAAATGATTTGTTTTTTTTTGTATTCAATGAATCAATTTTGATATGTAACATTTTCCAGGATCAGTCGAAATTGGTTAGGATATTTTGAGAAATATGATATCGATGACATTAATAATATTAGAAACGTTTAGAAGCGGTGACAGTCACTCTCTCTTCATTATCGATGGAAACGACAGGAGGTTGATACAAAATCGATAGAACGTATATCATTACTTATTCTCTTGGCGTCACACTCTCTTTGGAACGTGCATCTCTTAATCTTCCGCGAATATAAAATGTTCCGAAAAATATTAGTCTAAAGTTTGTGACAAGAATTTCAAATTTCTTTTTTTTTTTTTAAAGATAAAGAAGAATTCAAAATAATATTTATCGCAAAAATCTTTAATAACTAAATTATTAATTTTTAAACAAACAAAATTTGGTTGTTTCAAACAAATTTTTTTTTTTTTTTTTTTTTTTTGAGTGTAGAAATTTTAATCAGGCAAAACTTTGCAAATCTTAAAATAGTAATATTTTTAGTCTAAAAAATTTTGTATTTAAATTTACTTTATTTAGTAGAAAAAAAAGACAAAACTTTTAAAGGAATTATTTTTATTATTGAAAAATGTTATAAATTGTAATATTCGAATTTATATATCATAAAAGTCAAAGAAAAATATAACTCTCCGTAAACTTTTTGAAGAATATTTCCTCAACTCTCGTTCAACTTACAACACACATCAAAAAGTAAATTATGTTCGGAATTTCTTGCTGAATTGCAGAATTTTAAAGCATAGTATAATTTCCACACAAACAGCAGACACGCGTGGTCAAAAAAAAAGAGAGAGAGAGAGAGAGAGAGAGAGAGAGAGAGAGAGAGAGAGAGAGAGAGAGAGAGAGAGAGAGAGAGAGAGAGAGAGAGAGAGAGAGAGAGAGAGAGAGAGAGAGAGAGAGAGAGAGAGAGAGAGAGAGAGAGAGAGAGAGAGAGAAATAGAAAGAAAGAGAGAGTACTAAGGAAGTAAAAAGCTGTATTTCAAAAGTAGTTTTTCTTAAAATTCAATTCATTTTACAATACTCTGTGATTCAGTGGACAAAACTTTCTGTAAAAAGAAGAAAATTTATTTTTGTTGTCCCACATAAAGAAAACCAAAATTACTGATGAAATTTAAAATTTCTTAACGGAATTATTCTTAACATTTAAAAAAAAATTTATTTTTCTTTGCACCGAATTTCTTTTAATGCGAAAATAATTTCTTTATCTCTCTTTTTTGCTCAAAAGAATAAATGAATAGATAAATATTAATTAATTTCTTTCTTAAAAATAAATATTTTAGTTTATATTGTGAGGTAAACAAAAATTGTATTCTTTTGATCTTCCATTAATGAAATTAAAAATTTTTTAAGCATATATATATATATATATATATATATATATATGGATTATACACGAGTATATAATATTGATTGAAAATAATGAAATTCTCGGAAAAACTCCCTTTGATTGAAACTCAAAGCTTTGTGTATCTCAGCGACTGGAAATTTAATAGACACACCGTACGGATGAGCATATCTGCTCATTTATGTAAAGCTAAAGACGCATGCATATGGATGTGGACTTGAAGCAGGACTACGAATCGAAATTGAATTCTTATCAGTTAAACGCTCAGATTAATATCAAAGAGAATTTTTCATGAATATCAGAATCAGAGAAAAAGGACAGTTTTTATCCAATTTTTTTTTTTTTTAAGAATTTATATTCCCTTGCATTATGGACAAATTTTTTTTTCTCTAATTTCGAAAAAAATATTTTCAAAATCTAATATTTAGAAAGCAGTTTCAAAAAAAAATTAATTTCTATAGTATTAAAGTTCATTAGTTTTTTTCAATATTTTCGTTTTAATTAAATCTTCTAGTATTGAACTTTATTTATTTTTTATTTATTCTTTTGAGCAAAG